AACACTAGCAATTGTAGCCGAAACATTCACAGTAATAACAGCCAAGAAAATTTCGGTAGAATTAGTAACAACAGCCAATTCGGTAAACCTGAATTAGCGCAACTTCTTATAACCTACCAGCCAACAGCTCACTAGTAATTCATATCTTCATTGCAAAAATTACTGACCCATCGCATTTTGAACAAACACATAACACTGGACCTGTGGAAAATCAATTCGTAATCCTTGAACCTTAAGAAACTTCCAAATAAGATCAGAATAGCAACCGCCTGTCGAGTATCTCGATGTTCTAAAATGTGGGATTGCAGAGTTAGAGTTAGTAGACTGCACATTTCACAACTTTTTTATGTCTAGGAAGCGAGTCCTTAAAAAATACGGATTCGTAAAAAATTATCCGAAAAATAAATTAATCATTAACGATCAGTGTATGACAAGAAAAGCCATGGCACGTAACTTTCCCTCAGCATCAATAACATACGTGCTACAGAAGCAAGCATGATTGTGATCACTACGAGAAACTTCGTATTGCTTATCGAACGACATGCGACATACGAAAAGGCAGAGATTCTAGAAATGATAAAAAAAAGAACACAAAATATTCTAGCAAGCTAGCTAGCTCACCACCACCAATAACATTCACACACACAAATGCGGTCAAATACGACGTAAAAACAACAGACGTTGTGCCTATTTTCACAAATTCATACCTTTACCAAATATAAGACATATTGCATAACGAAGTAACTTGACATAGCAAGTTAACGTACTCTGGTCCAATACGGATAGTTAAGAAGCAGGCAGACGTAAACGAAAAAAAAGGACAGACTGGTGTTTGATTGACTGAACAATCAAGAAATTATTCACTACAATTAATTTAGCTTAGCTATTAAACCGAAATCCAGGAAACCATGTTTCGCCACAATTGAGATATATCAATTCGTAACAATGCCTTTCCATCTGATGACGATGGAAATCATATGTACCTTGTACAACATTCACAACTCCCTTCCAAAGCGAGGTATCAAAGGTATCGGCAACATTTTTCTATTGAAAGCCGAAAAAGCTAATCTGAAAACTCAGCTAGACAAATGGGAATTCGTCAAAATCGACTTCCGAGGGCACAGAATCATTCAAGGGTAAATAATCCCAAATCCTGGCAAGGCTGGATTCGTGCTTAGTCTTTTGACAACAAACACTCCAAAATAAGTCAAACAATTTTTCAGATCAACGAAATGTTACTGAAAATTTACGGAGACAAAACTTAGGACTAAATATTTGGTAAAGGATGCAAGACTTCAAATCAATGGCCGCTTGATAGACACAAACAGATATGTCTTACTCTATATTGTACTCTATGCACCAGTTGGGACCCGTCCGTTTTGTTTCCACACAAGGGAATGCAAAGAAAAGTTACTCGGTCAAATGTGTCGGTCATCGGCAAAAGTAATGAGAAGATAAAGTGCTAAAATTCAGGTCCCTTTTGTAGGCCTGTAAAACAAAACTATTCATCAAGACAATATTAGCCATAAACTATACAGTAGCTATAAATTGTAACAGAAAGAGTAAAAATTGTTTAAAAAAAATTGGAAACAGGAAACGTAGCGAAAATAGTTTTCTTAAAGATACCAGCTAAAGACATGACAAGCTTCCTAGAGCGGTAGTGGTTCAAACGACCACTCGCATTTAATACTGCAATGCGAAATACTCTTCGGAACAAATATCATCAATTCTAAATATCTATAGATATAATCAAAGACATGAGTCATTTATACGTCAACATCTATACAAAAGCCCTGTGAAGTTGGACGATTTTTCAACAACGACAGCAACTAGTGCCGTACTGCAAATGCAAACCTTAGTCAATTTGGAACTAATTGCCGCTTTCATTCAGCATTGTTTGTCTTGAGTTTGCACTCTTACAGCGAAGCTGAAGATCATAGCGCGCGCGCAGAAGCGCGGAAAAAAAAACATCATCAAAACTATCATTCTTGTCACAGAAAAGCATTCCATTTTAGTAACAAGCTCTATATCGATCGTCGATTCCCTATGTGATTGTTCTCTTCACTAACACCAAGGGATAATGCATCGGCACAGTGATACTTTTGAATTCGGAGCCGTTGGTAAGAACCAAGTATGCAATATCCTTCATTGTATAAAAGCATATGCTTGTTAAAGAAACGCCTAAAAAAACTGCTTAGATCTGTCAGTCATCACGCGTACGGTCGGACACACGATGTAATAACCATTATTTTATGCTTGGAGAAGTGATTTTCTCTAGCAAACTAACAATAATCAAGCCAGACATTCTAGCAAAGACCAAGCCGGACTTAATCACACACTTCAGTGGTTACAGAAACATCGAAGAGCTGTTGTTCTTCAGTATAATAATATTGCAGTAATTATCCCAATTCCACAATATGCCAGAAACGGTCTATCGAGATTCGATTCCCGACTAACGGAATAAATCCATTACAACAAATAACTACGAAACATTTGTATTATCTGCTAAGCATATGTTAAGGCAAACACAGAGAAAAATATAAGTCAAGTATGTAATTTCGAAGAAGAAGTGAGTGACAAAACCTGGAAAAAATCAATGCAGTAGAGGTATCTTCTGGAGCCGCAATATACAAAAATGTTTCCATTGGATTTCCTACACCCTCTGTAAACAAAAAATAAATATTCATGAATACACTCTAATAAGATTCGAAAGCTTCGAAATCCATACACTCAACAATTCTTGAAAATCTTCGTCAATATAAAAATTAAACTCTGGTTTCATCAAACCTAATTACAAAACTGAAAGAAAAATGAAATGTAAAAATTGGAAGATTGAAGGCCTACAATAAATAGAACGTGGCGAGACAATTAAGCAAGGAGTAAATAAAAATGTAAAATGCAATTTATTGCTTAAGGGCTTAGAGTATAACTTTCACAAACCAAATATATTTGTAAGAAAAGGCTGCGCAGCTTGAAAACAAATCCAAAATTTTAAATCTGCACAAGGCCACAAACGTCATAAAAATATTACTTTATCCAGACAACCCAAGTGAATACAATCATGCAGTTTTGAAAGTTTTGGATTGACATTGAAGTCGATTTTTTATAGTCATTACAAATACTCGGGTTATGAACTTTTTTTTCTATAAAGCTTGCGAGGATTTGGTGTTCTTCAATATCGAAAATCATTACAATAGTTCAAGATCTAGCTTGGAAACACTCAGTGTCGCTTAAGTACTTTTCTACAATTTTATCCCAAAACAGCGCCATTTTTATAAAGCAAAAACTCGAAACAATCCGGAAAACCAAACTGAACTCCATCATGTTTGCTTTAATTAGGCTATGAAAATACAAGTATTTTGCAGTACCAGTGGGAAATGAACAAATGTGCCATTGGCTATATTCCGCAGGGAAAAATTATAATATGGCTCGGTCTCAATCACTTCTACGATAAGTAATTGCAAAAGCTTCGAAAATTTGCATTGAAAATTTTAACTATACATTGGCGATTTTGCCTGATATGAATTTTGAGTGGAATATCTTTTACGTGATTATCTATTAGAATTGAGAGCAGTTCCGATCGCCTCGATCGTTGAGGTCAATAAAAAATATATCATGAATATGCAACATTTGTCTCGCGAGGAAAAAATAAAGCTTTCCGCTTGCTTTTCAATCATTGTCATTGACAAAATTGTCATTATGATTGCACCAGACTCGAATGCGAGTAGATCGTATGTACATTTCATTACAAATTTAAATACAAACTGAAATTAAAACCAAGTGCTTAGACTAACATCATCTATAGGAACTGAATCTTTCAAAATTTGTTGCCACTAATTAAATGCACCTGTGAAAATTGTCACTAAACGTGCGTCGGGCGCTCTCCGTTCTCGCAGCTACGAAGCCGTTACTGCGTATTTTAAAGTGATTTTTTTAATATTTAAGTGTGCGCTTCACTTATACCGCAGCTGACATGAGGCACAAGCAAAGGCGACATGACGCTATACCCATCCACTGTCGTGGGCGAATACGAACTCGGATCATTAGAAGAATCGCTAATAATTTCTGGCAAATTATCGTCATCAACAAAACCGCTGTCCTTTATCTTTTCAGCTCTTGTAGCTTGCTCTGCTATATCGAGGCTTGAGTAACTTCCTTGTGAAGAAAACTGAAGAGAGTTGGGCAGAAATTCGAGCTGGTCACTTCCCGCGTCCGCCATTTCTATGCAAGCACTGGGGAAATCCAGACAAGGTGTTAGCAGGCGAGGGTAATTGGTTATATATTTAACAATTTCAGATGCCGCTGGTCTTTTTTTGGGATTACGATTCCAACAGGCTCTTATAAGGCCCTTTAATTGTGGCTTCGCGTCAGCTGGCATTCTCAGGGTCTTACCATTTTTTACAAACTGCAAAACTTCACCATTCGTTAAACCCTGATATGGAAAGGAGCCAAAAGTTATGATTTCAAAGAGTACTACTCCAAAACCCCAAACATCAGAAAATGGTGTAAACATGCCCAATGCCAAAGATTCAGGTGCCATCCAGCGTACAGGTAACATACCTTTATGATTAAAACGATAATAATCACTTTCGTAAGTCGGACGAACCATGCCGAAATCACCGATTTTGACAACTCGTTTTGCATTTACCAAACAGTTACGGCAAGCTATATCACGGTGTACGTATTTCTGTTGAGCCAAATAATCCAAGCCATGCGAAATATTTAATGCAAACATTGTAAGACGTTTGCTAGATATATCCGAATCATCAGAAATAGTTTCGCTTACCAAATGCCGACGGGCAAGCAAATATGTTTTTAAATCACCATACAGCATATATTCCATTATAGTGTAAATAGGCTCTGATTGCAAGCAAACTCCCAAAAGTTTTACAATATTTTTGTGATTAAAACGTTTCATGGCTTCAGCCTCGGAGAGAAAATCTAAGCGATCTTCAGTAGAAGCGCCAACCTTTAAGGTTTTCACCGCCACAGCTGTCCAGTTTTCAGAATTAATTAACGCTTCACCACCGTAGACGGTTCCAAAAGCACCTTCACCCAAACGTCGATTGATTACCACATTTTCCTTAGGTAACTCCCATTTATCCAAAGTGTTAGCAATGCTACGGGAAGGCGAAAATATATCAATTCCAAAATTTTTCATTATTTTCGCAGAGTG